GTGGTGTTGATATGAAATCTCTTCTTTCTCTAGTTTGCAATGATGATCTTGAAGAGGTTAGTCACTTATTTTTCAAGTGCTTTTTGGCGAAGGAGGTGTGGACTTGGATGGCTGGTTGGTGGCCATCATTGTCCCCGAGTTTTATTGTGTATTTGATATAATTCACTTGATTGATGGTTATTTGGTTGCTTAGTTGGATCGGTTGATTTTGCATTCGGTTTTCATAACAACTATTTGGATTCTCTAGACATATGCGTGTTAGAAAAATAATTGGTGAATTAAAACCAATCACCAAATTTTGAGAGGTTGAATGTTGTATAATAAAAAATCGATGTTTAATTTTCGGTTATAATTTCTAACTAAGAATGATATTAAATATAATGTCGGTTATGAATTCTGTTTTAATGTCATTTTAATTGTTTTGTTGGTTATGGGTTGTAGTATAAATACAACCATGTGGGACACAAAAAAGAAAGGATCCAAACTCTCTTATTCTCTAGTTCATCTTCTTTTTCTTGTTGTATCTAAGGTTTAATCCAAGCCTATTGAGGGTTCAGGTGGTGTAGAAAAACCATTTCCACTTGTTGTATCATGGGAAACACACACCTGGTAGCGGACAAATATGTTTTAAGAACACTGTATTAAACAAAGGCCTCAACAATTTCTATTTTCTTGTTTTTTTTCATACATTTCCGTAATATACTTCCTACACTCTTAAAACAATTTCTTTTGTACGAAACAAACTAGAACTCAGAAACAATGTTTCTTGTTTTTTTTTTCTAGTTATTGGGGGTTTTCACGGAAAAAAATAGTTTTCCTGCTCAGCTTTGGTAAAAACAGCTTCAATTTTATATAAACATCTTTAGAAAATCAGTAAACAACTTGATTTTACTGAAAACAACATTAACTTCTGTAAAACAACCCCGAAAACTGAATATACAACTTGGTTTTACTGAAAAACAACACAATATAAATAGGTTTGCTGAAAAACAACATCATTTTTCAGGAAAAACATATATTTTTAACAACTTTATGGAACACGAATTTAGCTTTGTGAAAAACAAATTTATTTTTCTGAAAACAGCCTCAAAGAAAATTTCAGAATTTAGAATTTATAAAATAAAAGAATAATTTCAGATTCCAATTACTAGAAGTACAATCAGAGAACAAGTTTTTCGATTTCAAATATCAGTCTTTATATTTCAGTTTTTCAGATTTCATAAAGAGATTTCAGAAAAAGACTTTTAATTTAAGATTTAATATCAATGTTTTTGAATCAATTTTCCGAAACATAGTATCAGATTTACATAAGAATTGTTTATCAGATTTTTGTATCAG